GTCTTCAGTTTAACACTTGGGTTTAACCTCACCTTTACAAGACTCATTGTTTTATTTTGATTTATTTTTCTGATTATGTTTGAAGTTTGCAAAATGTTTTTCTATTTTCTTTCGCATTGATTCCAGGCGGTATTTGTGAGTGATCACTACCCAATAGAATTAGAATTGTACTCACAAGGTATGGAACTGTATCTTCATTTAATTCAGCAATGTATTCTGTGTATTGTTCACTAATAGATATCATACCATTTTATTTTTATTTYAGGACTCTACAAAGCCTTACAGTCCATCCAAGAGACCACAGAGTATAAGTTCTACTCACAGTCCCCTCCCTCCCTTACAAACAAAGASATATACAGAATTCGCTATAAATCCAATCCACTTTTATCCAAAGGATTTGTAGARGAAACACTGAAGTCTTACTCAGGAGCCATTGCAGTTATTACCAACAAAAAGAAAGTGACAACATCCCAAGATGCTTTGCAAGCATTTGCATTGATATATTCGCATTGGGCAAGACTGATCACCAAAGACCAAGTCGACTTGGCCTCGCACAAAGTTGAAGTTGATTATAAAAAGAAATCTTTTCAAAATGCTTATGTCAAGCTTGTTTGTAGAAAAATACCATTGCCTGTTGAGTGCTTGGTAGCAATGGAAATATAAAAAAATGTGAAAATCAAGATGTTGTACTGAAATTTATAAGTCTCCGGTTTAAAAATGTAAACAAATATTGTCGTTTCAAACTGATTTACTTAAAAGACCTTCAAATGCGCAGTAGAAAATGAAAATCTCACAAAATATCGTATCCACGAGTTGACAAAATTCTTACCCATAACCCAACGCGGCTTAGCCGGATTGATTTCCTATTGTTATAACAGCCAATCGGAACACGCGTAGAAGGATGCTGCACTTTTCAAAATGGTTCCAGAACGAAGCAATCATGCACCTTGAATAACATCTAGATTATCGCCCTTTTTGAGCCATTTTATCGTTAAGTAAGCATCAGTAGTGAAAGTATATGTAATAGAAATGGAGTTAAGCCATCAAAGTTTGAGTGAATTGCCGAAGGGTCCTTTTACAGCCACAAAATTGGTAAGTTTGCAAGCAACATGGCGTTGACCTCGATACAGCCCCGGTCCGCTGCTAATTACAATCATTGTTTACAAGTATTTGCTTTAGGTATAATCATTGATTAATCCTTTTTGAAAAGCTGTGAAATTATTTAAGCATTATGCCAAAGGACTTTGAATAGACAACGAAGAAACTTCCATTTTATAATGACAAAAATACAAAATTTACACGAACACAACAATTTGTGTCGTTTTCACTAGAATTGAAATGCCATTGTCAGTCATATATAAAGCCTATAACACGATCTTCAGTGTAAATGATTCCAAATATTACACTTATTAGATTTAGGAGTTTTTAAAAGATATATTAAATTTACAATCTCGTTAACAGTGGAACGAAATGGTCTCTCAAATGAAAGWCAATCTTCAAGTCAAACGAAGAAGATGGCGAATGAAACAGTACGACGATGTGTTTGTCGCTTCAGAAGCAGTTGACTGGCTTCATGGATATCTCAAAACAAACCCAAACTTCGGTCCATCGGTGAAYAGACARCAGGCAGTCCAACTGTGTCAAAAATTTCTCACACATAAAATCATAGAAGACGCAAGAGGAAAACAGTACAATGTCGCAGTATTTGAAGATGATAGTCATCTMTATCGCTTTGTAAATGTTCGCTTCTCTCCYTACAAAAAMYCCAACTCSCCAAGGAAGAACGCTGAAAAGCCTCCTCTTTCAAAGCGACATAGTTGTGATTCTGCATCAAGTTTGACTCGCACTCCAGCTAAAGTACTTAGAAGATCGAGTCGTTTTAACTTTACCAGGGCATCCTTTACCACTGCTCCGTCTAGAACACCATTGAATCCTATTACAAACCAGGCAAACTTTTCAACCAACAGTGATGTAAGAGCTCTAAAAAGTGGAGGGATGAAAGGGAGACTGAACAGAAGGGATATTGAAGGCGACGTCATCATGAATCCTGCTGCTTTGGGTTTTGGTGTCAATAGACACAGCTTGACGGAGAAGGAAATTACTGAGATTTGGTGGAGTATTGCTGTTACTAGGTAATTCTGTTCCTATGAAACTCAGGATAATATAATGAGCAATAGAAAATTATCTTTGGGTTCCAGTAACCATGACGAATAGCAAGATGTCATACTATAATTTATAATTTTATTATTCAATAAAGACATATTTACAGTCTGGAGCCTTTGCAAGCCAAATCTTTATATTACATCTTGCCAAAAATATTAGCTATAGTRATAATACTCTTGACCTTATATTCAGACTGTCAGGATTACTTGAAAAGGAATGTACACCAGATAGCTACAGAACCATAGACTATGACATTGAATGTGTCAGGGAGAATATGGAAGAAAGGGGAATCTGCAAAGGTACATGAAATTGGTTAAAGAATCTGAATGTCATAAGCATATTTTAGTGTTAGTTTGGAACAAACTAATTCCAATATGTATTGCTTTTGTACAATAAAGTACTTTGCCAGAGGATAATATTATAATTTTCATTTTTGCAGCAAGTGAGATTGTGCCACCTTGGTTGCTCTCTGCTATGAAGTGCTTAGTTAGCTGTAAGTATGAATGTCATAATTACCAAATCTGCTATCATTATATTCCTTACCATCGCTTTTGTCTTGTTCCCAGGGCCCAATATAGAAAAAGGAGACATCAGTCATTCATTTCCCAAATACCCTGGGTTTGAACGAGATGTATTCAGGGCTGTGGTCGAGTATTTTGAYGGTTTTAAGGAGCCTCTTGTACATCCAAACATTCTACCCCTCTTTAGATTGACTGCAGGTAAAAATTATATATTAAATAGTGATTTCACTTTATCATTATTATCATAATTACTACCACTTTTGTTTATTGATCAGGAATTATTGTCAGATGCAAAGCTACTGCAATGCGAGCTGTTCAGTACTGCTGTATGCTACTRCAACCAAACAAACGAAAGAACTTCCAAGTCCTAGTCAAACTGATGGTAAAACTAGTGCAAAACAAAGCGCTTGCACTGAGTGACACATTACCCACACAGGAACTGGTAAGTTTTTCAAATGCAAATCTAGAACTAGACTTATATAATCTTGCTTGTAAAGTCCTGATGTGATAATGAGCCAAAAACAACATTATTGATTTGTGTTTGTTTCCTGGCTTCAGCTAATCAAGACGTTTAGTAGATGCAGTTTTGGAAGGAGTGGTGACATGGATGTCATTAGGTTGCTGTTTTTTATGGTAGAGAACTTTCCAGTCTGCTTCATGGTAAGAACTTTGTTTTTTTTTATTAAAATCTTGACTTTGCTGCTACATTTTAAAGATACTTTGCAAATATATGAAACTTGTATTGTAACAAGACTTGCAGTTGCTTGTTTGATCTCAATTTAAAAGTTTTTAAGCCATTAATGTTGGTATTATCTAGAAACCAGATGGACTGCAATTTCAAGTGGAGCAGCGTATTTTATTCCTTCAAAACTGCAGAGGGAAAGTGGTATGAATGAACATGGAACTTGAATTTATTGCTTATATTATAATTATCCATTTATATCAAATCTATTCATAATTTGTTTTCTCTTCTCTCATTTATTCTATCAACAGCCAACCAAAACCATAACAAAAAGCACAACATTCTGTGAAAGAGTGACCACTGAAGAATTTCAAGAGGAAGCCAAAAGAAGTTCGGAGACTGCTTTGAAAGACCTYCTCAACCAAATTGTAGCTGATGATTCAATAACTGAAAAAGTSCGCAAGAAGAAGTTTAAACAGGTAAAGTGGGAATTTGAGAAGATGAAAGAAAAATGAAAATAGAAAAAAAACTAAATAATGAAAAATGGGAAATGGTGTGACAATGGAAACAAATAAATGGGAAAAAGGAAATGGTGCGCTAATGGGAAGTGAAATAAAGGAGTGCTAATTCACTTATTTATCTTTCATTTTTGTATGTCAGGATATTTTCTTGTATGGTTCTAATGTTGTATTATTTTTGTTTTCAGTTTGAGAAATCCTATCCCAACATCTATTATGCCAAGTTCCCAAGCGATACCACKTCTACAGCTAGTWCAACAAGCAGAAAATCAGAAAGATTACGCAAAAACTTTAGCAAACCTTTGAATGCGCTCAAAAATCTAAGATAGATTGAACTCAAACTTTTTACTATGACAATGTATATTATTTTGTATCTTATACTTATTCTTTTTATGAGAATATCATTTCTAACCAAAATCAAGATTATAATATCTGATCAAAGCTGCTATGTAAAAGCAGATTTTTAACCAATGAATCAAAATATCAAATATATATCATTAATAACAAATTCTATAATGAAGAGTGTTTCAATGTCTACTTTTTTCGATTCCTWCAGAATATCTACCTACAAATTCCTTGTTTTCCTTCTAACTTTTCTGTATTCATTTCAYATTTCGTGGGGTTCCTGCGGTTATTTTAACGCGGGTGAGCTGAGTACTAATCTACCGCAAAGGACTGTGGGATCTTTGCTAGACGCCATCTTGGATCAGGTGAAACATTTCTCGTAGAAATGCTCTCTTTTTCTCGTCAAGTTTTGCGGTTTTCTCGAAGACCGTTAGGAGTAACCTTGAGAAAATGTCTGGCAACTGAAGCTGCTGAAGGTGGACCTGCTATGGCTCTTACATTCGGATCGCCTTCTGAGGTATAAARCTGCTACCATGTGACACTGTTCCCGGCTTTTTTACGTCACCACACTAAAAGGAATATCTCGATATTTGATTTGAATTTATATGTTAAAAGAAATCTTTAGTGTCTTAMGAAAAAAACATAAAAATCCTAGATTTTTTGTTTAATACATGTTTATAATGTGTAAATGTACAAGACTGGTAGGAAATGGAATAGTCCTCCACGCATTTCTTGCAGATGGAAATTAAGATTTAAGCTTATAAATTTGCACAACTTACAATCAAATCTAGGATAGGTTTAGCACTGCATTGTGCCATGCTGCATGCATCAACCATGTTTTCATGAAAACATTGCAACACATGAAAAAATGTGTAGCTGGACGCAGCCATAACACTTTTTTTTTCCAAAATGTGAATGCTATGTTACTTGTGGTTGCCATGTTAAAGCCACCACATGCAAAACTGTCGTATTATTTGCTGATAAGCAAATTATTATTATTTTTCAGTCTTTCTATCACAATGTATCAGTGAAGCAAGTTGACGTTTCCACATCTACTGGTAGCTTTGGTATTCTACCTGATCATGTTCCTACACTCCAGACAATACGGCCTGGTATTCTAACTGTGTATGAAGGAGGATCAACCACAAAGTACTTTGGTAAATATTATAAAAGCCAGCATTGTAATAGCTTTTGTAGAAAAAGATAGTATAACTCCATTTAGAATTAAACAGCAGCTCAATTCGCTCTTTTTGTTATTGAAGTTTTTATTTCAAACCTCACTGTAATATTCTGAATCCTAGATTTGGCTTATTGTACACCAACCTTTGACAAAAATTAGAGCGGATTTCGTATGAGTGGGACACCGTTACCGCATGGTTACCGCACAGTTACTGGACCTGGCCTGCACAATTTTGGTGAACCAATGGGGCACTAGAATTTGGTTACAGTACGATTACGGTCACAGTACAGTACCATCCATTTCCCACTCATATGAAATCTGCTCTATTATATGAGAATTAATACAATAAAATAGTGCACTCAAGGGCAGTGTTGGTGCTTTGACTGGTAGTAYACAACCTTTGTTTGAGTGCAACATTATACCAGGAAAGATTAGTTAATGAGTCATAGTTATATATTTATTATGACTGTTATAATCTTTCCTTATATGTCACAAATGACATAAAGTCAAACATTGAATTCTGCCTCAGAGACTTTTGATGATAGTCTGTGTACATTTCCCRCTAGTTTAAAGATTGATTATTCATTGTTTTATGTATGTTTGTCATTCCAGTAAGCAGTGGTACTGTGACTGTTAATAACGATTCTACAGTTCAAATCCTGGCTGAAGAAGCTCATCCTTTAGATCGATTTGATGAACAGGTTTGTTTCAAAAAAAAAAAATGAACTAAAGTGAATCATTATTCCTTTGTTATATTTGCTTGAAGTGTCTTTCCCTCTTTACTTTCTAACTATGGCTATTTCAAAACGTTAGTGTTACCCTGAAGAGTTGTGAAGTCTTTTGGTCATTATTTATAATATATATATTCTTTTAGTTGGTAAATAAGCAACTAGAACAAGCCCAGCAGGAACTGTCAAGTGCTTCATCAGAAGAGGACAAAGCAAAGGCAACTATTGCTGTAGAATGTGCAGAAGCATTACTAAAAGCTTTACATTGATTGATTGATACTGGGGATAGTCTTCTTCAAAGCCTGTTTTCGTATTGGTCTTGCTGTGCACACAGGAAGCCCATCAGTGTAACAGGCTGTGAGGGAGACTATAAGGGAGTGTGTTTTGATTGAGAAATTGTAGTAATTTTATGGTGGAAGACATGTTGGTGTCATATTTGGTAATAGCTTGATATTACCACTACTTTGCTGGAATAAACTTGTAATTAAATTGTTACTGTTAGGCCATATTGTGCACTTCTGGTCTTGAACTTTCAGAACTTCTTGACTTACATGTACTTGGCGATATATTTGGTCTTCTCTGAAACTTAGAACAGCTGTGAAGTAAATTGTTTTAATGTCCAACAATGAGGACTGGACGGGATTTCAAGTCCGCGCAATTGCAAGGACTTGAAATCCTGTCCAGTCCAAATTGGAGGACTTTTGAATGACTTCTCATACTCATTAATTATTCGGGAGGGGAAAAAAGTGAGGGAAATACATATAACAGAAATATATTGATTTATTGCATCTCCACCAAGGTTTTCATAATTTGTTGCTCTCCAATTCCCAAAGGGGTTTCTGAAACAGAAACTTTTCAAATTGTCTTTGTCTGCTATTCATGGCCTTACTAATGAGCCTAATTCATAAGATTTATTAGCATGTTGTTTTCCGAGGAATCGCATCAGAATCTTGGTGGTATACTTGATTCCTGAGGCAGTCTTTTTCACTAAATAAATCTATTGTAAATTGATTATTTGTAATACTTTGATTATTATTAGCTAGTAGTAGTTTGAAAAAAGGTAGAAGTAAGTTGAAATAAGGTACAGCAGTACTTCCTCTGGTTTTCAGTTACTGCAAGTGATTACGATCAGGGATTGGCTGGATATCTCATGAAAAATTAATGAGTATGAGAAATTTTGTTAGATTCACCTTTTTTTTCGGTTTGTTTATCAGAGCAGAACAAGAAATTTATTCTTCGGTTTTTTGAAATATATACAGTTGGCTGCATTCAAACTTGCTGCTCGAGCGCATTTAAACACAAGCAAACATTACAAAGTGCAGCGTATGCAAAAACTAACTCTGGAAACTACAGTTCAATTTTATCTCTCCTCGTTCTTGCTGTTGACATCAGCATCCTTACAAATCATTACCATCTCGTTATCGCATCATAATTATGCGTCTCCATACCGTTCATGACAAAGTCAAGGATTTAATAATCCGTTATGAAGTGCTATCTTTTTAGTGCTACAACATCTAATTCTTGTCACTCCAAATGTGCCTTTCACTTCAGTGCCTCCATTAAATTGCTCAAAGAAAAATAACTGCCGTGATACAGGTTGCTGGATTTTGTACTTAGACATTTTTCATGGAGTGTTGTTACTTCATTTGTACCAACATTCCATGCACATAGACTAAGATTCTACAATATCTTCATATTTCAGCGTAGCTAATTTGTATTCAGTTTTCAGCCTCACCTAGTTCAGCAGAGTAGGCTTCAACCCGGGCTTCAAAAACTGATCTTGATGTATTAACCGGGAGAGGGTTTTCTTCTAAATGATACTGGAGCAACAGTTTACGAATAATACCAACAAACGTCAATGGGAACTGATCCGTCAGTGACTTGACTGCTTTGGCACGATATAAATCAAATGTGTGATGATTCCCTTCTTGCGATGACTGCGATGAATTACGACGTTCAAAATCGACAACAATAGGGGATGCGAAGGGGTTGGCCTGAAAGATTTCATATTGTTCTTCAATGCTTATGGGTGACAATTTATACTCCAAGAAGAGCAAAGTATAAGGCAGGATGTTTTCACCTTCATTTTGGGCAAAAATAACTTGATTAATAAACAAACTCGACGAAACGAGCAAAAGCAAGGGCCATAACATCTTCATTTTGGATCATTTTGGAAGCGCGATGTTCAGTAAGCTAGATATAGTATTGTGTATGACGTCTTTTTCCGTGTTAGACTTTTATTGGTTCTGAGTAGAAAAGAAATTACGACTTGCTGCACACACTGAATAGGCAGCTCAACAAGGGGTCGATATCTAGGGTCCCAAGTCCGTGTTTGCAGGCAAATGTACCCCCACTCACCCAACCGGGAAAATAGTACAGTTTACTCTAAGATGTCCTATTTAGTAAACTTAGCTTTATACCAAATCAATATATGGATGATGAATCAAAAAAGGATTTTAGTTCAGTCTCGCTTCTTTAATGGTCTAAAACTGGCCGGATAGTGGGAAGAAGGACGAACACCATTTCTGCATATAGATAGAGGAAGTAAGGGGGCTCGCGGAATGATTATGAACCCCCTATAGTTTTTGTTCCTCGATTTTTTTGGTTGTCGACTCAAACTAGCAACGGAATCGTGAGCGACATAATTCATTTTGACGAGAGTGAATTCTAACAGACTACTTTTTTCTGACGACTCTGCTAGCAGGGTAGTATTCTTTGTATGTATCATAATAAGTATTGAAATATCTGTTTCTTTGTGCCAAGAATTCTTTTCCTTTCTTTAAAGTATTCATAGTCTAGATATATTTTGCTTTCATCAGAAAGACAGACAGGACAGACAGACAGTCTCTCCCCCCACTTTCCTCCAAAGGGCAACAACTGAACAACGATGATTGGTTGATTGAATAATGGATGTAGCGTAGTAGTAAAAAAACCCTCAATAACACATAAAAATGAAATTTATAAAATACAATAATTGCTTGCACAATTCAAGCACAAAGACGTGAATTGCGTGACTGTAAAACTGTAAAAGCATGACAGTAAAAATACTTGAAAACACAGGGATCCCAATGACTCACGTGTCCTTTTAGTTTTGGTGCAGCAAGTGTAACTATAATACGTAGAAGTCATATCAAATTTGGTGAACTCTACACTAGATTCATTTCTTTATATTAAAAGAAAACACTAAAAATGGCTGATTTATTTGACAACAAGAATTTCCCGCCATTAAAAAACGACAGAGTCTTGAAAGCAGCTCGAGGAGAAGATGTCGACCGAGTCCCAGTTTGGGTTATGAGACAAGCCGGCCGCTATTTACCAGGTAAATGTGATTTTATTCTCTTTCTGGGAACCTTTACTTTAACTAGAATAGCTCAGCAGCTTATATTGTACTTTGTCTTTTCACAATTTGATGTCATTTTGTTGAGAGAGTCTTTATGAACTCTTACATAAGCCTAAATACTATAAGCTTACACCCAAAATAACTCTTTTGTTCAAAGTTCTGTAGCTTAAGCTATTTGCTTAAAAAAATGTATGCATTTTATAGAAAGCTCCTAGATCTAGTCAGTAATTATATAAGCAATTATAATTATAATTATATATTTTTTATTAATTGGATAATTTTAATTGTTATCTAGATTAGGTAACTCTTCAAAGATTATCATGTGAAAATTCATTCATATATTAAATTTACCAGCTGTTATGACTTTAGGCACTGTTTACATGGAGATAGGGTCACCCTACTCTATTGATTTTGCAGGTTTTGTTTACATGTCACGTAGGGTCACCCTACGGGTAGGGTCACCCTATTCAATAGTAGGGTGACCCTCCTACGAGGGCCAACGTTTTGCCATGGGTAAACGCTCAAGTAGGGTGACCCTGGGGGAGGGTTATTTGGTAATGCATCAAATGGCATCAACTTACATCATTTTGTGCTCAAAATTAATATGTCAAGTAATATAAAGATGGTGTCCCATGTGTATCAAGCATCTACCCGCCATTTAATTGTTTACGAAGCTTAGCGACTGAGCAATGAAGATAGCCATACCATGGATTTAGCTCGCTTGTCGACTTTTCATGTAAAGGGGAGTCTATGATTTAGCCCTTCTGATAGGGTGACCCTCCTAATAGGGTTCACAACTTTATCTCCATGTAAAGAGGGCCTTAATGTTATGCCCATGCATTTTCAGCATTGGGCTGAAACTAGCTTCCAATAGATGCCCCAGCATAAAATTACTGTGTTGCAAGGTTGTTTCAGTCCAAATAATTGATATATGAAAACTTTGATATGGAAAAAGATCTGGTCATCGTACATTCACTGTCATTTTTTTCTAGAATTCCGCAAAATAAAGGAGGATAATAATGCTGATTTCTTTAAAATGGTCCAGACACCTGAAATATGTTGTGAACTGACATTACAGGTACGGATGGCATCTCCTTTTGTATTAACAGACTGGGAAACACTGTTGCTTGCCTGCTCTTTAAGTAGTTGTAAACCTAGGACAAGTTAGTGTACGAAGGGTTGATAACATCATGCACCAAATAACTGTTTTGATAATAATTGTTATAATATGTTTCTTTAACTATTGTATGTTGTATTATTTTCTTCAGCCAATAAACAAGTTTGACCTAGATGCTGCTATCATCTTTTCCGATATTCTTGTGATACCACAGGTAAGAATGTTTTGAATAAGTGTTTGTAAAATAGCATTTTAACCCAGCTGAGATGTGGTCAAAGAGATGTCACTCCAACTAGATTTCTTGTTGTTTTTATAGTTACTTGGTATGACTGTTGAAATGCTCCCAGGCAAGGTATGTTTGGGTTTAGAGGTAGCAGCAGAACGTCCCACGTCCCCATTCAAATTTGGATCAGTCCTCCCAGTTAACAGTTTATCCCATTACTGTAAAAATAAAGATTGAAAAACATGCATAATGTTTGAAAAACAATTCAACCATGATTTATACATGTATACATGTAGATGCCCAGACAGGAAAGTAGTACTATACCCTAATAGTCTTCACGGTTCCTACGGCCATCTTGAAAGGTAGCCTTTTATTTCCTTTACATTGAAGCGAGACAACCGTTGAGCGTGCAATGATAGATAACAGTGAATAATTGTCTGTAGGTGTGAAAGAAGGTTTCTATCATTGCATGCTCAATAGTCATCTTGCTTCAATCAAAGGCACAGCTACCTTTCAAGATGGTGCAGGGAACCGCCAAGAAGACTATTGCATGATGCAGTCAAATGTTTGGGCTCCCTGTGTTCTCAGATCATAGAACACATATAAAGCACACAAACAGAAATTAATTTATCTTTTTATTCAAACAATTATTATAACATTTGAAAGGAAACAACTTTATGTACACAGGGACCCCATTTCCCACAGCCTCTTGAAAAACCTGAAGATATGGAGGTTAGTTTGTAGTTCTTGTAACAGAAGGTTATTTTATGTGACTTTTCTTTAAAAACTAGATTTTGATTCCAAACAGAAACTTATTACAAACCCAAATGTGCAGGAAGACTTGTCGTATGTCTACAAAGCTATAACATTAACTAGGCACAAGCTAGAGGGAAGAGTACCTCTTTTTGGCTTCACTGGAGCTCCTGTAAGTATGCAGTAATGTTTGTATTTCTTCCTGTGTGTTCAAGATGTTTTTTTAAAACATCTATCTATTAAAATATTCCTCAAACCTTTTCAGTGGACCTTGATGTCATACATGATAGAAGGAGGTGGCAGYACAAACTTCACTAAAGCAAGGCGATGGCTTTATGAACACATTGAAGCMAGTGGCAAGCTGCTKCAGATGCTGACTGATGCTATTGTTGAATACTTGGTTCTTCAAGTAAAAGCTGGTGCACAGGTAATTTTAGTGTTTATTTTATTCAAATAAATTCATTTAAGATACCATGGGACTGAGTGTGATGTGTTATTTRAGATGTTCATCACAACTACATGGAWTTTAGTYTCCTTWTTTTTTGTAGATTCTTCAAGTGTTTGAATCCCATGGTGGGCTACTTGGTTATGACACATTCATGYTGTACTCGCTRCCGTATTTAAAACAAATTGCACAGAAAGTTAAAGAAAGACTTGGAGCTGATGCTGTTCCCATGGTAACTACACAGTGTTGTACTTACATGTTATCCCAAACATTTTTTAAAGTTTTTCAGTATTTTATTGGTGTTATCCTCTGATTTATCTCCTTTTTTTTTGCTAGGTTGTGTTTGCTAAAGGAGCACACTATGCTGTTAGAGATCTTTCACAGACAGATTACGATGTTGTTAGTTTAGACTGGTTGATGTCCCCAACAGATGCTAGGTACTGAAGTAGATTGATTAACACTGAGTTGAATAATGTGAAAATTCCACTATAGATGAATATTAAAAGTCTAGTCAGTTAACAGGCTAATTTGGTATTTCACAGAATACTTGCTCCAACACAAACTCTTCAAGGAAACTTGGACCCTGCAGCTTTATATGCAACTCATGTAAGTYGACTGGCATTCAAATCCATCATATCCTGTCAGTCAGCCAATGTCCCTTCAGTCACACTCTCAAATTAACTGACTCATATCCGAGCAAATGATGAATCAACATTACATGGTCGCCATGGTTGTCAATTCAATTGAAATTCACTGTATAGTTAATCAATCATACAACCAAAAAGTCTAATTTAATAACAGGTGGTGATTTAATCAACCAATATTATATTCATTATTARTCATTAATTATATTTTCATATCATTTGACTAAATATTCCTTTTTTTGCATACAGGAAGAAATTGAGGCAATGACAAAACAAATGGTCCGTAAGTTTGGTATTCAGAGGTATATTGCTAACTTGGGACATGGTATGCATCCTGATCACGATCCGSAAAAATTGAGAACTTTTATAGATACAGTACACTCGTGCTCAATAGAAATGAGAGAAAGAAAAATGTCGACATCAGATGGTCATTAAAAGACTTACATATAAAATGAGATGATACAGAYGAGAATCAGTGATAAAACTTGTACTCTTAGCTACTATGTTGTAATGTTTATGGATTGAAATGATTAGAGTATAGAAATATACTGCAATGCACACAAAAAAACTAGAGACCATTCAATATTGCCAGGGTTAGATTTAGGTATTTAGCCTGAAGGATAAATTAGGTGTATAAGAATAATAWTTTTTTATGCAAGACATTATTTTTAATTACTTGGAGGGAATTATTGCAACCATCCCTGGAATGAAAAGACGACTTTAGATATTTTGGTTCAGTGACCATGCACAAAAGAATTGCAGACGAGGCTCCGGGGAAATAAAAGAATAAATCAAGATTATCCATTGTTTCCCCGCAGCCTCGTGTGCGCTCTTTTGTACATAGTCATCGAACCAAAATATCTAAAGTCGGCTATTAATGGTCTGTTTCTACAGGAGTCAATTCAAAGGAAATAATTTTAGTTTGAGTGACTTTTAAGCAATGTAAAACTCTTCAAATTCTGAAGACATTGCAACAAGACTAGAGGGAAGTGACATCAGACTAATTTTTTTGATTGCATTGTTTTCCTTTGTGCCTATTTTGCAATTTCATTTTAGCTGTTACATTTGACTTTATGTTTGGTTGATGTCTTCACTCTAGTAGGATTGCTTTTTTATGATCAAAAGATCATATTTTTAGTTTAAATTATTTTGAATTCAAAAATAAACCAAACTGGAAAGAATATTTACAGTATTTTTTAATGATATTGCTGTTATTAAAATTATATTCTTTATAATATAATCATTGTTTGACTTTTCGTAATGCCTGTATGATTTTCCTAAAGTACACTTATTGAGTCACACAACATAGTTGAATGTACAAAAAAAAGAAGAATTATCATGAATTAAAAATTGCAAAGAGAAATCGATAAAAGATAAAATAATTCATTCAGGAGCTTGTTTTTTTTTTTATTCATGTTATAACAACATATTTTTAGTACAWTGTTTCACTCAGCAATCCTATCATTTCTTGCAAGTTGGGATTATAATTTATGATTGGCTATTGTTTTAATATCTGTACATTTTTGTGTTACAAGTTGTGTGTCTGATTGAATATAAAATCATACATTCATAGTCTTTCCCTGTGAACAGAGTTTTATTTACTTTACCTCAGTAAAAAATTTTGTGAGGGAAATATTTCCTTTGTAATTTTGTTACTGAAGGTAAGGTAAATAACACTGTTCGCAGAGTACCAAAGTCTACTTTACACACACTTTGGCCAAACTTGCAATAATGATTGATTGTTAGAAAGTCTCATTGTCAACCTTGCACCAGAACTCTAAGGTGGCAAACTTTCACTGCTCTCAAGACAATGTTTTTATGGTGTTTTGTTGTCAGTGATGTAATTCCTCTTCTGGGAGGAACCAWTGTCAAAATAACACTCAGTTTAACACTTTCTGTGCTGCTTCCTTGATTACTACAGCAGCTTGATGGATCTCATCCTCAGTTAATTGAACATTGATAGTAACACGAATACTGAAAGAACAAAAAAATATTATTAATATTAACTTTGGCTTGTTGTAAGAATATTGAACAACAAACATGGATATTTACCRCAGAGATGGCAACTAAGGAAAGTGAAGGAACAATTTGTAATATCTGAATGTTACCTTGGCTGTGGTGGAAATTTTTCTTGGTTTCTAAGATATCTAGCAATAGTCACTGCAATGTTTTCATCATAAGCCTAAAACMAACAACAAGATTGAGGTTATTGAATTCAAATTCAGGTGAATTTTATCATCTCCTTACCAAATTGACAATCTGTTTAAGRATGTCYTCTGCYATTTCCACATTTTCAAAGTTTTCTAACAGTCGTAAGTGGATCACTGGGGAGATTTCTTCTCCACAGACAATAAGCCCTTGCAATCTGAATGGAAAAACAGTAGTTAGTCAAAGAATGACATTGCACTATAATTAATTCTACAGCAAAATTACCCTTTAAGCTCTTCTCGAAATTGCACTGCTTTTCTTTGAAGATCGTGAAACATCTCTGTGCAAAGACAAACAAAGGTTTTGAATGAATATAGGAAGACAGTGGTGTAAAGAAAAAAATAACAAAATTTTATAAACACATAAAATGAGATAAGACAGACAGACAGATAGAAAAGCAAATATTGGACAAAACGATTTTTTACCAGTATTTTGTTCAATGATGTCCAGTGCATTGATGGCTGCTGTTGCAAGCATTGGTGGAAGGGAAGCAGAAAAGCAATATCCAGCACCTGACAATCGCTGYAAGTATAACATATCAAGTCAACATATCWAGCAGCTAAACAAGTTTCAAGCAGGTTYAAATCAGGTACTCAKTAATAAAAACAAGTCTCTAAGCAAGTAAAACAGGTTTTATTCAGGCTCTTCTTTACTTTACCTGGTGGTCAACTACAAATGAAGTTCCACAGCAAAAACCACCAATGGTTGCTAGRGAGTTTTCCATRGAAACACTAATTAAGTCAACATCAGTTACCTAAAACATRTATAATGCAACAATTAAATAATGGATGTAGCACAATATAATATGTATAAGATACTAGTTACATACAGGTATGTTAAAATGCTCAGTTATCCCTCTGCCTGTGCTGCCAAGAACTCCAAATGAGCAGCTTTCATCAATGAACAATCTCACTTTATACTTATTCTTAAGCTCAATCTRTAATACAAAAACAGCAGCGTCTCTTAATGTTACTTGAATTTACAAAGAAAGACTTTTACGTGTACATGTACTTGTTGAACATACCAGTCTTGGTAGAGGAGCAAGAGAACCATCATTTATGTACAGAGCTTCCACTACAAGAAATCTTCTGGTGACTTTTGCTTTCTTGGGATTCTGRAAATGAACWAAATGGTGAGTCAGCTATTTCTAGGACTGCTTAGTGAATGTAAGAACTAACCTTGCGATCTTTCTCCTGTTGTTCTTTCAGTAATCTTTCAAGATCATTCATGTCATTGTGRTCAAACCACATGACTCTACTTCTAGATGCTTCTACTCCTTTTTGGATTGCAAAGCAAACTCCCTTGTCACTGAAAGACAAATGAATGCATGAGTTATGAAATGAATAAGAGGATGAATAGGAGGAAAAGAGAGTAAAGGGAAGGAATGGGACTAAACAAGCAAACAAATGAATATTTTGACATTTGAACTGATGGGCTGAAAAAAATATAGATATAGATGGTTGCAAAGACATGGAGAACAGAATGAATGAATTGAAATGTGAATGCAGCCTACTACTGGAAAAGAAGCCAGAAAAAATCTGACTTTGAACGGGATTCGAACCCACGACCTTTGCAATACCGGTGCAATTTATTCTCTCCAACTACTGAAGGACATACATACAAACAGAATGAATGCTTTAAGAAAAGATAGACAGGTATAAAAGGGCAGAGATTCATCTGAAATCATTTACTATTCAAAACCGTACCAGAATATGACATCACCCCTCTTGGAGTATGCAGGGATAGCACTGGCCACTGTTGAAAACCCATATGAATATAATATTGCTTCTTCAGTATTCATAAACTTTGCCAGTCTYTCCTCTAAATTCAAATGTACATCTGCAAACAACACAACAAAATAATAACTCAAAATTAACAAAAGCTGCTGATTTCATGGTTTTGTACTTTCGATGTGCTTAGATTGCTATCAGCATTGTGATCATTGTCATCATATTATCATAATTGTATACCTATGGTTCCATAGAATCCTCTTGGACCACAAGAACCAACACCATATTTGTGCAGTGTCTGTATCGCTGAACTCTATTTGAAGAACAAGAGATGAATAATGATAAATACTGATATCAATATACCAACAAATTAATCACACTATCTAATGAATCAATCTTAAATACATGTAGGTCACTTATTGTAATCAGAGGTCAATCGGTCTGTCAATCAATCATTCTGTGAAGCCAATAAAAAAAAAATCATTTTTACCTCTATTTCTTTATTTCCAACAAATCCCAAGAAGTTGAATGTTGCCAAGTTAAGGCAAACTTTACCATCAATATTTAACTTATGACCGGGTTTGCTGAAATTTGAGGAGTAAAATATATAAATCTCATCTCATAATACATTCTGTCATTCATTCATCATCTCCATTTCTTTTTTCAACAACCGATCACTCATGAATAGGACAATCAATGAATGAATTCATAATTTATTTTTTTCAATCATTATATTTTTTCATGGACAATTTCTTATCTGTGTTATTTACCCACTGATAATTTTTGACTCCAGTATATCGGGGGGAAAGTCAGGCTGTTCTGGGACAAGGGGTTCTGGTTGCCATTCTTCAATCAATTCATCTTCTTCCTTTTGAACAACAAAACAAACGTCAAATCCAGCTGCAACTTTCTCTCACTCAATCATTTTTATCATTGATTTTTCAAATTTACATTTAAAGACTTCAGATTCTCATGATAATATGGCCAAATTACAAGCTTCTCAYGCATTCAATTACCTTTTTACTGAGCTCTAAGGATTGCTCTCTGAATCTATAACTCTTTGATACCAGTAGCCACAATATCCACAGCACAAGGATTGTTTCAAATATTACATGGTAAAATGGAACCTAATATGATCAAAACATTAGAATGATGATGGTTTTTAATAAGCTTTTTAATATTGGAAGACTTTTATATTAATTTTAYATACGTAAAACCTTAAATTATAAGTTTCTTGACTTAAAACAAGAATACAAAGACTGTGAGTACTCATTTACGACAAGATGCTTTTTGGTGAAAGCTTGCTGAATACTAGTGAATTGTAGCTAATTGTGCAATGCGAAGCCAAAACAGCTGATCGGTGATGCCTTTGACATAAACAAAGCTCATATTCTTCAAATAATCGCAAAATTCATTGATAAYAACACAAGAGTATATTTTTCAACAATCTATCTTGTGAATACAGTGAAACAGAGGCACAAGACAACTATTATGTCACAACAAATGGGAAAATCGTCCCACATTCAGCACAAAAACAAACTAATTTATGTACATTGAAAATCTATAATGAGCTCAYATCCTACCTTAGTGTAGTACTCTAATATCTCTATTCCCTGTGTAAAATATATTGTAAATGAAGACAGATGGCCGAAGTAATTTGGATTTATTGYTGGTGTATCGCAATGCTCTCCACTGTCCGCCATTTTGAAGACGCCCTRACTCGGTRAGGACTGGGTACAAGGATTGTGAATTCCACATTTYCTTCCCACTATTTCACTAGCAGTCTACTTTTCTTCGCCATGAAATATAAATATGAAAAGATGGAGGAAGTTGTCTAATACAAAATAATTATTTGCTTTTATTCTCCTGTTTTTGACATTTTCAAAACAAATGTTTCAGCACCTAGGTCGTGTTTCTAGACGCGGAAATRCTCACACAAAAACTCWGKACCAAAAGGTACATCTTTTAGTTAGAGTAAATGAAAATGAGGAATTATGGATGGTTGAATGGGAGGTTTAATGGGAGGGGCTGGGCTCATTCGTTCCCAGTTCCCAATCTATAAAATAAATACCCATGATGCTATTGGGGCTGYSTTTGCGACTCAACGAGAAAACTCAACATGTCTTCCAGAAACCCAAAAGTTTCTGACGGAGATTGGATTTGTGCAGATGAAAGGTAATGATAATCGYATAAAGTAATYCATATWTCAACTCCTGATTTGCAGCTAATATTGCATTTTTACGTTATAGCTGTGGAAATGTCAACTTTGCGAGACGCACCGTCTGTAACAGATGCGGAAAGGCAAAAGGTAGGGGCACCCCCTTAAYATAGTATTATTATTCATAATAGCTGAAACCATGCCTCAGAAATTGTTTTGATTGATTTTTCTTTCATTATTAAAAGTGTCAGTTTCCTTTTTTGACTGATTTCGTAACGTTGCAAGTCACAAGTACGTCAAATCACAGATTTGATTTGATCATTTTGATTTGTTTGTTTAAGTAATAACTCACATCTACATTGTAGACTTGACTATTGAAGTGTAAGTTATTAGCATAATATAGTTAGATTTGACTGTTAAAAATGGCAAATTGTTTATTAATTATTAAAGATTATATTTTGGAAAACGCACTGAAAAATAACACTGTTATAAGAGAATTGATTCTAGTAACTTAAAGCAGTTCAAGTATCAAAGTTTTTATAAAAGTTTATAAAGCAATAGRTCACTGTACAATTGCAGAATTGTTTGAGAGTTATTTCACCTTTGACATGTGGGAAAAACCCTTTTGTTCATTCCACCTGTCAAAAAAAGCTTTCTCTTTATCCCAAAATCAGTCTCTCATTATCAGTATCTSACAAATAATCATATAGCGCAAAAACTTACAGCATTTAGTTCAAATTCAAGTTCCTTTCATGTCATAGACTGATTCCATAAGTCGTAGTATTCGCTCCTTGATTTTTCATTTTGTCGCTCAAACTGGGAGCAAAAAAGAAAAAGAGCGACCTGACAGACTGGTGGAATCAGTCTATTCAATTWARTATGCTGTTTCTTTAGTTAAAGCAAAAGTTGACACCATCAAACTTAGTGGTATGAAGGTTGGAAAGCAAGCTGCATCAAAGAGTGGTGGCCTGTTCAGTGAAGAAGATTGGATTTGCTCACAGTATGTTTGATGACATTTCTTTCCTTGTTTCCAGTTCAAGAAAARGATCTTAGAAAATTTTAATCTTTCAGGTGTGGTAATGTGAACTGGGCAAGACGTAATCATTGTAACCTCTGTAATAAACAAAAGTTTTCAAAGGTGGAAGCAAGAACAGGTAAATAGAGTGATTTCAAGGCTAAAATTCTAAATTTTAGTGCATGAAAAACATTTTGTTGTTTCCAGGTCTTGGTGGTGGTTACAATGAGCGTGGGAAGGTGGAATACAAAGACAGGGTGCCTTCTGATGATGAATTTGACGATGTATGTACTT